TGCAGAAATTCATCAAATTTTCCAAGCAATTTATAGGAAATATATTTAATTGAACTTTCCACATTTTATTTTGTATAATTATCCCGCCTCTATGGTGGTCACATTTGTCAGTTCTGAATTAGTTCTTAAGGGACTTTTGACCCAAAAAACCTGTGTCTCAGTTGGTGGAAAAAAAACCCTCTAAGCAAAAAAAAAGAACCCTCAACCTATGAGAAGACTCAGCAATGGCATGTTTGTTAATTTAAAGGAGTAACTGGTTGAAATATAAAGGAAATTCAAGCATTTCTTTTGGTCTTAGATTTTATAAAGATTTATTTCTCAAAGCCCTCAGGGTTGTATCCTCTGATCCTCCAAGCAGACTTTTCCCTGCGTTAGTATGTCAGCTGAGTTCTCCCTCTTGGTGCAAGTTAGGACATCAGGAAAAGGATGGCAGCAAGAGGACTCCGGATGCTGAGCAGGCACAAGCTTGGGCAGGGCATGAGGCCTCAGATGCCTCTGACATCCTCTGTGGCTGGACTGCAACATGTCAGGAGGGAGCTGGGGCTTGGCAGCTGCCCTCACCCAGCAGTCATGAGGTGCTGTAAAGTCAGGGCCCAGTCATGCCTCTTAGCATTTAAAATACTCCTGGTTCATCCAAGCTGCTTTGGCTAAAAAAGGGATGTATAAATTTGATAATGTCTCATAAGATGGGAGGAAAAATATTTTCTAGCTAACCTTTAACTTCTTTCTTAATGCTAATGTTAGCATTAGTCTCTGTGCTTTAAGACATCCTCAAGTTGCGGCCTTCATATAAGCTACACATCCTGTTTTTCTTCTCTCCTTTAATCAGCATCTCTGATATCTGAATCGTGGATGGGGGCCGAGTTGTCCTTTTCTTGGGACCACAGCAGGTGGCTTTTGTCACCAACACTGCTGTGTCACCCAGTGGTGTCAGTGAATTTGATAGCACACTAAACACCTTCACAAAACTATTGTTTTTATTTCTACTATTGTTCATTGTATTTAACATCACTGTGAAGGATCAGAGAGGTGTGAGGGTTACACGGAAGCTAGAGGAAGTCTTCTTGCCCCTTAGTGCATTTATGATCACTGTGGGTATTAGTGTCCCAATTTCCAGAGAGTACAGGAAATATGAATAGTCCTAGGAGAAAAAAAAGACTTATTACTTATCTTGTCATAGAGTGGTCAGGGGAGATGGGATAAACCACAGTAATGCAAATGGCAAAAACTGCAGAGTGAAGAGGATAGCTGTATCATGTAAGTCATGTAGTAAGATTTTGGGAGAGCCATTCATAAAAGTGGGGTTTATTAGACAGAAATTACCTCTACCTTCTCTCTCACTGTAATAAGTAATAAAAAAAGGAACTAGGCATCAGAACCATTTGCTCAAAACTTCACATTCAGTGCTAGACCACAGTGTTTTTTTATCTCTCTGATGCATTATAAAAGCTCAAATGACAGAAGGCTGAAAACTGAATTATTTCACTTCTCTTGCCCCCCAATAGCCCAGAATTATAATTAATTCCTTAATTATTAAAAGACATACCACTTTTTTACTATTTTATAAACCCTAGTAGTTAATGAGGTTTTTAAAGTTATTACAGAACTTTTTTCATGGTTGGGTTTTTTATTGGTGGTTTTTATTTTTAGCATTAATGTAACACAGTATGTAGTGGTTCATCCTTCATTCCATCTTTCTGAAAGAATAGGGATAAATGCTATAAAAAACTATCTACATATTTTCTCCAAACACTAAAATCATTATTTTTTTCTAATTGGAGTTTTTCATGTCCACCTTTCTAGAGCAGATTTCAGATGCAGAACTGAAAAACACTTGTTCTTCTGTTCCATCTCTCTGCTTGCTAAACTTCCCACATTGAAGGGCTCTTAAGCATCTCCAATGTTAAAAAATACATTGAGGATGGGAATCTTCACGTTGAGGTAGCCTGAAATGCCTCCAAGACTATTCTAGAAATACTAGGCAGAGGTCCATGAGACATGCACTGCTAACCTCCAAATATGACTACCCATACAGGAATTTTCACCAATTTCAATTTCACCCATTTGTGTAAATAAATGGCTGTGCAAACCAGGCCCAGTCTCCATGAGTTGTATGTGCCATAAAGGCTTAAATGACAGCAGTCTTCCAATGTAAATAGAATGTTTCAAGGGCTGAGCCTGAGATGGATGAACTGCTCAGGTTTTTGATTAATTGGATGCCTGACTGCAAGAGATAGGGAAGATGCAAGCTGTCTGTAAAGCTGCTGAACTTACCAGCAGTTCTGCCACTGCAGGTTGGCAGGTACAATGGGGACAGAGATGAAAAGGTTAGACACTTTTTGCTATCAGTTTCTTTTTAATGGCTTCCCTTTACTGTATTTTGGCAAAATAGAAACCTTAGAACAATGAGAAAGTGCTTTCTCATGTTTGTTGCTAATATTGTGGGGTATACTATGATATTGCTCCTCTGTCAGTCAGCAACTCCACTTGGGTAGTACTGCACAGAACTCAGTACAGAACACAGGTGACAAAATTTCAGCCTGCAGAAACCACCACAACAAACACACACAGGTTAAAGCCGCAGTTTCATGTTCTGAATACACATGTGCTACCTTTCGGTTTTGCAGTTGTGGCATTTCCAAGTTCCAGTTCACCAGACCTGCAGGTGTTTTACTTGGGAGTCCAGAAGGGAAGAGGTTTATTCCTGGTATGAATCACAGCTCATGTCTTTGAGACAGGACTTGTGTATTCCTGACTTAGATGCCTTTATCCAGTATTGGAAAAAATGGTGCAAATGAAGTTAATCATGATATCTTACATTCAAGACAGTAGAAAGAGTCAATTGAGGACTTACTGCCACATACCTGGAATATTGCCTTTTTTTCCACGTGAATCCCTTTTCAGTCAGGAGGATAGGATACCATGTAAGCCGGCACAAGCCTTTTGCCTAGAGGCTATGACTTGATTTCTTTAAAAAACAGTCAGAGACTCCAGGTTTCACTTCACCAATAACAGCTTTAAAAGGCCTAGTTTTAGTAGCTCTAGATATAGTGTAAATAACCATTTCCTTAAAGGTGAACTGGTTTCCACTATACTCATTAGGCACTCCTCGGAAGCAGTGTTGGTTTACTTTTATTTTTTTCCCCATCGAGCTTTCAGGACAGAGTATTGCCAGATATTTTGCTTTTATGTACTGTTATTATTTGTCACACAATTCTAAACCGGTACTGGCTTTACAGTGAAATCCTCACCACTCTGAACACCTCTCCATCACTTGTTGAGTCTCCTACATCTCTGAACTTGCACTGCAGGGAATGTGACGGGAAGGATGGTGCGTGCGGTGCCGTGCACTGTAACTACCTGTACGTGCAAGCGGCCAAATCTTGCCTTTGATTAGACACAGCACTTGCACCTCGTGTTCCTGTGCTAATGTTCACGGTCCTGTTAGATTTAACGTGTCTTTTAGGTCTGGATGGATAACTGACCCCTGCGGGGACCCAAATCGCGCAAGGACGAAAAGTTTCTGAGGAAACAAACACAATCAGAAGGTGACTGCTGCCAGCGGAGCGGAGGGCTGCTGCCTGCGGCCGCTCTACCTGGTGAGGCACCGGGCTGGGAGGCGGAGGAGGATGCACAGACATTTCCACGGCAGCGGAGAGCCCCGGTGAACTCCTTAAAGCCGGCGGCGCGGCACCGCCGCCGGTGGCTCCGGATGCGCTCCAGCCCCGATCCGGGAGGACGGCCGGCTGCCGGGGGACACGCACGGCGGGCCGGGAGCGCGGCCGGCCAGGCCCGCCCGGGAGAGCCCCGCGGGCGCGGCCGCCGGAGCAGCGGGAGGGCGCGGGGCGCCGCGTGGCACCTGGCCGCCCCCCCGCTCCCCCCGCGCCTGCCCCGGGCATCCCGCTGCTGCGCTGCCGGCCGGAGAAGGGAGGGACGGAGGAAGGGTGGGGGGGGGGGGGGACGGGGGGGGTGG